GTGTGATTCTAATTCAGTTTGGAGGTGAAATTTCCCACAGAGGCTAAGAGAACTACTCAATTTTATCGCAAACTCAAAAGCGAGTGCGTTTTGCAGATTTCACGATCCTGTTTCGACTTCCTTCAAATTTGCATTTTTTCTTGAACGAGCACTTATGAGGAAACGATCGGGCTTCATGCAAAAAACTGATAATCATGTACGCAGGTTTGTCCCGGCGAATATTGCCGTGACAACCTGGAACCTGCCGTTAGACCCGAGGCGTCAGCTAACAGTCCCCACGGCTACGGAGGATTTAGAGGCGGCTCAGCTGCTCTGGCAACTAGTTCCCCCTCCAGGGCCTATGACGATGAGTTTGAGGCCACCTTTTGGCAGCGGTTTAAAGCCATCTACCAGTGGGCTCAACTCAATTATAGCAGGGTGCCCGTTAAGCGTTCCTGTGGAACCATCCCAAAGGCGCTTCTCGAGCTTGCGAACCAATGCATTGAAGAGGACTGCGACAGATTCGTATATGATCGACCTGTGTCATATATCGGGAAGTTAAATGCCTGCGTTTAAGCAGCAGCGAGAACTGTCGTACGCCTTCTTGCAGAGGCGCAATGCGAGAGGCGAATGCCCGAGGTCAGATGGTTCAAGGAAAATAAGGTTAGGAAAAAAAATAAAAAAAAAAAATCCGCTGAACAACTCCGATCCATTGAGCGAGAGCTGGAGCGTAGAAGGGAGAAGAGGCGACCCAGCTCCGAGGATCTGAACAATAAACATAGAATCCGATCCGAATTGGGACGCCGTAGCACTTCAGAGCTGGAACGAATTGCTGAAACAATCCGTATGAGAATCAAATTGCTGCAAGCCAGAATTGAGGGAAACGGATATACGACGGAAAACCCTCCGAAAGCAGTTTGCAGCCCAAAGCAGTCTGAGGTTGTTGCAGCAACGCAGAGACCGTGGTGTCGATGAAGCAGTCCCCAAAATGAAGGAAGCCTACGACTCCTGGAATAAGTTGATTGGAACAAAGTTCGCCTCGGACCCTGGACATGCACCGGCTCTCAATCAATGGAGACAGAGGATGCAAAGCGAATATCCAGCAAAGGAAGGCGTAGAACCGGACCTGCTGAGGAGCTCGTTCGACTGGGTTCTCAAACGTGCAAAACCCTGGAAAGCCCCCAGGTCCCGATGGGATCCAGGCTTTCTGGTGGAAAAAGCTACCCTCAGCGGCAACTCGGCTACGTGAATTCGTTATCCGAACGCTGGATGCCATTCAGGTTCTCGGTGCCTGGTTCTGTAGGGGTCGAAAAGTCCTGCTCTATAAGTATGCAATATCTTCATACCAGCCGACGTCCCTTCCCTCTGCATGCGGGAAGAGGTCGAAACACAGCCACTGTGGGTCCAAGTGTTTAACTTTAGAGTAGGAGCCGCCCATGCAATTGGCGATCTGCAAGTTTAGCGGAAAAACATATGATCGCACCGGCAAATCTGGTGCGTTCCAGTCTGGATTATTTTTGCACTAGTTCGTTTTGTATTGAAATGCCTTGGACTTGATGCTTCTGGGTCATTGTTTGAGTTCAGATGTGTTTTGATATGTTCTGTTTTGTGGCACTGTTTTGTTAATGCAGGATATTTGTAGTTTTATGTCTAGAATGCTTAAATTGTGCTATTTTTATGCGTTTTTGCATACTGTGTTAATGCAAAAACGCATGTTGGTATGAGGGAGTCTCTCTATGTGCCTATTTCTATGTGTTCGCACTTTTTGTCACCCACTTTCAACTCAAAAAC